CATTTGGGGTCACAGCATCACCGCCTGCAATCGAAATCAGCAGCGCTCCAGATACAATCAGGGCCAGGGTAAACGTAGCGCCTACACTAGAGTTCTCTATTGGCATAGTTCTGGTTGAAGTAGCCTGATGGTAATGGACTCGGTGGTATTAATAGGCGCTTTTTAATCGCTTTTGGTAGCTTTTTGGTGTGGAGTAGAAGATTTGAAAGCTTCCGCGGTGACAATTTGATGCCCTAGGCTGCTTTGAATTCTTTCCTCCCTACGGGTGTATTTCACGATTTTATTGGGTCTTCAAAACTTCGGCAGCAGCCCATAGATTCCACTTCTGGGGAAGGCTACAAACGACAAACAGTCTTGTTTGTGTTTGATGGTGAGCCCGAACTTGGCCGCTGTAGAAGCGATAGTCGTCGTTATGCGCTTAAACTAACTAATCTGTCCTGTGTGCAAACAACGCACGTTCATCGGCAAACAGCAAGATACGGATGGTCGTCTTACACACACTGGTTCTGGCCTCGAAACGACGGATATTCAACAACCCACCATCAACTCAGTGTTCCACACTGACACCGTAATCCAAATCATGAAGATCACAGAGCATTATGGTAGTTAGGTAAATGCTGAACATGGCAGGATCTAAGACACACTAGACAACAGCAAGTTCATCCGAGGTTTGTCCACATAGTAACATCCACTCGCATACCATTGCGCAAACATTCAAATAGGCTCACGAAATTACTTGAACAAAATCTACCCAACACCAGCCACAGTATCTCGCGGTGCACCGTGAAAAACGTCTCGATGAAGTCTACAAACAACGAGTACAATGGCTGGTGTCGCTCTCGGCATTCCTAGTGTAGTTGACCAGCCGCAGACACCTTATCTATGGTGCTGCGATCCGAACGGAATTCGCCTTGCCCTTCCGCCACCTTCGGTTCAATGACCTGAGTAATGAGTCTGTTAAGCAAGTTTGGAGCTATTCTCCTCGCAACATAACTTATCAGGTTGGTGCCACGATAATCGCTGGCACGTTGCTTGTTTCCTTCGCCCTGGTACAGTGGTGGAACAAGGGTATCCCTCAAATCAGGTAGCACCACTCTTCAAAACACACGCGTTTCACCAAGTAGTGTACCGCATTTACCAACATGAGTCGGCCATGTTTCAGAGCTTCTGGCGGTATCCTCTCGGTTCCTGCAATTACCGTTTGGCAGCTGAGCAAAACTCGCTGTCTGGGGTAGTGTCAAATGCAGGTTGGACTTCTCATAACTTCTTGGTGTTGCAGCCAATGCAATATACTCCTGTTAAACTCTGAACAGTTGTTTGGGAAACAGTCGAACTACTTTCGCCATATCTGGGTTATGTCTACATTTGGGTGCAAACAACAGTCAAAGTTGCGTTCGTTGGCGTCCTTAGTAGCTACAGCATTGGTACATACAATGCCTTCAAAGACTAATAGCATTCCTTATGTTGGTGACGGTAAGTGCGGCATTTCACCTTGCCTTGGCTTCTCCGCCCAACATTCGTGGTTAATCCGACACAGCATATGAGTCAATCGCCGTGGCAAATTGCGAAATCTACCCCCCTTATCTGAGTCCGCAGCGCCAGCCACATGTGCAGCAAAAGTCGCAACTTTCTCTTACACCAATGCGCCAATTTTTGCGTCGTCATCAGGTAGCTTGCCTTTTGCAAGCCCGACCGCAACAGTTACATTTTCTTGAATTTACTGCTACAGATCGCCGACTGAAGTGATAGAGCCGACATAATTAAGGTGGGTAGATATCGCATTCTCCAGCTCCAGGCTCTTTTCAATAGTATCTAGATGTGCAGATGTGTAATACACAGATTTACGAAAATATAGGTGCAATTTAGCCCGCACCAACTTGTGATCAGTGCCACATTCAGCTCCAAGCAATACACCTGTCATGCGCATTTCACGCAGGTCACGCTGGCGTTCCATTACATGGTCCAGCAGATGAGCGTGACAATACAGTGGGTGCGTTCTAGAAGCTATATCACTCGTACCCAGTGTAAACTGCGTTTTCGTAATCGTCAGGCCGTGAGTGGTGCCCAGTGAGAGCAGCCGGTCACCGTTTCATATGGACCGTGCCACAACCAAACGGTCCGATGACATCTGTCCACACCGCGGCATCACGCCCAACGCGCATGTTGAAATCACCCAGTAGGAATAGGTGGTTGCACCTCGGTACAGACCACATCACAGAGGATAACTGAGTGTAGGACTGATCCCTCGTGTCTTCAGGATGACACATGGTGGAACCATACCTACTGATAGTGGACTGCTGCAGTCGGCTCACCCATCCGGTTATCACTTAGACCAGGGATATCTAAAGTCCGGCCAGCGGGCCAAATGCGGCCTGCGTCTACATTTCAACAGGCGTGCGACCTCATGATGAAATAGTAAATTCAAGTTTGGATATTTTCCGTACAGATGACATTATATAGATTACGAAAAATTAAGGACCTTACGAGTACATAATTCGATCTCGCCAGGTACTGGTAAATTCAATGATATAGTATTGTTTATTTTTAACCAACTAGGAAATTTCAATCTAGTGCTTTTACTAAAGGGTCTTCGCTAACACAAAATTACAAAAGATCTCCAGATCTCAGTTATAACATTCACATTGAAAACTTGTAATAAAAATTCTATGTCATTTTTGCTTATTATCTTATATCAGACTGAATATGACCCGACATATTTTTATCTCACAAAAAGCGGCCCTGCTTGCGAAAAGTTTGTAAAACCCTGATTTAGCGGTTGTATAATGCAAATCCAAGCCCAAGTTCACGTGGTGTTGTGGTGGCGTTTCCCACCCAGTGGACGTGTAACCAGCACCAGGCTTATGCAGCTTGCGTTGGTCAGCGAACCGGGTCCCGTTGAGCACGGCAATACCATGAGACTGAATCCCTTCCGGCCAGTAAAGTGCTTCTTTATGAACGCGTATTAGTGTTCCACTAGAGTGAGCGCGCACATTCTAGCATCCGATGTTAAGTGCTTTCCGCTGAGGCATACGACTGCACCGATTAATCTCTTTGATCGCGTGCTTGGGTGGTGGAACTAATGGGTCAAGTGATATGGGGACTGGGAAAGGAGAGTGGGGGTGAAAGCGGAAGAAGAAAGAAAGGAGACGTCAACCGTGGCGCGTTTTCGGTTATCCACCCAGCTGTATGCAGCAGATAAGGCGACCCTTTCCACACTGCGCGACAGAGGATGCAGCGTCAGATTAACTGTAGTTGTGTAATGCACAATTTTAGCTGGGCTGATATATTGCTAGGGTGTGCACACCTGAACGGGAGAAGGACTCGAGTTATCAGCTAAATCCTTCGATCAAATGTACTTCCGAAAGGCACGGGGAAATATGCCGGGCATCAATAGACTAATGTGGATGTGTGTGCCTTGGCTCTTAGTTATAAAAAGGGCATAACCCAAGTCACATTCGGCGATCGCCTCGAGAAGGCATCCAGGACATGAGTACATAGCAAAAGTTAAGCAGTGGCGGGTAAACCATCCTTCATGATATTGCCAATGTAAGCCTCAGCGAGCCAGCACGCCAACATGCACCAACATGCAACAAGATGTTTGTTTCTGTCTTCATCAAGATCTTCACGTCAATACTGATGTATGTACTTCTGCCCCGATTTTAAAGGTCTCTGATGAGTACAAGACCTGTATTGCAGTTATGCCATCAATTCAAAGACCAATTTGCCCCAAAGGAAATACTAACGCATCACTAGTGCCACAATTTTGCTTTTGTGAAATAGGAATAGTTGCTTTGCTGAAGACCAGCATCTCCCTTGATCCACCCATGCTTTCGAGTGAGTTACTTCTTCGCATTAAACACCGGTTGTCCGGGCGGATGGCGAATGTTGTCGTAGTTTAGTCCGGTAGAGACACTCTGAGGTATGCAGAGAAATCTGTATCTGCCGAATATCAAACTGGTTGGTCAATTGCAACGCAATATTTTCAAGAACATTTTCGTGAAAACTTGTATACCCTGCACTGGTAGTCACTTGAACGCTGCTTTTAGTAGTTTGACACAAATGGCTAACAGGCTCAAATGTAGAAACGAGGATCTGCTTTTCTTCAAGATATTGTGGTCCGGATCTGGAATAACTTTAAAAAATTTAGGTTACCTAGGTTTTGTGAGCTCGCGACATGCAATTTCATTCCAGCCAACAGTCCACACTCGATAATTTGTACCACATATATAGCAGACAAACTTTTGGTGTTTCCAATTTCAGCTAACTAAATCAGTAAACGGTTTGGTTTCTAGTCGTTCTCTGCGGTCAGCAACAGCGGATGTGGTCAATGCGACATACAGCATCATACTGTATGATATCTGTGCGAGTCTTGGTCGAAGTGCACATGTGCTAAATTAAAAGGGACTAACAATGAAATCCTGACAAACGATAAGATTTCCTGAATAAAATAATGCTCAGATGAGGATTCGTAAAGGAAAGCGTCCGCGACACACCACGTTCTGGCACTAAAAATGATGGAATCCGTGGAGAAAGCATTAGGTTGATAACCTTTAGCTGTTTTGTTGCACTGGTTTGAAAAGTCGTAATAAATTAAATTATCTCAATATCAACGTTTGATGATGCGCTGGAGTGAATATGCTTCCTACAACCTACCGTCATTTATCGATAGAAATTTTATGGATGATGGTTAACGGGTGTGTAATCGATAAGGCGCAATCTGTGGGTCACTGAACGACTACTAAAATGTGTCTTCCAGGGACCAAATTCACTGGTGTGACTCCCTGCCGATTCAATATGCACCAGCTTTTAACAGGGGCGTTATGTCGCGTAGCACGTCGATGAGTTCCGCATCTCGAATGCTTATGGAATGTGCGTCACACCATGCAGTCGTCATGTGCTACCCGCAAACTCGCTCACATCCTTTCCGGGCGGATACTGGGAACTATAAATTCAGGGCACTTATACAATTCAGATCACTGCCATACCTTTCGGGGCTTAGTATGGATAGAGCACTGTGTGCACTAGTGCTGCTTGTTGGGCTCGTGGAGGCTCCACCCATAGGGCTTGGAGGTAAGTGTTAAAATTTTCTATAGCTTCATGGTTTTTTAATCAGTCATGTAGGCCAGTACTCATGATGCAGTAAATTTGCTGACTTTTATCTGAATTATTCTGGTGCCACGCTTATGCCTGTTAGGGATTCAGTTTCGTGTTTGCAAGTATGACTAATTTGTGCAATTGTGCTCGATGCTTTGCTACGCTCAGTCAGTTTTAAACAACCGTATTTGAGTCAGATGGATAAATTCATACGGTTTATTAAGAATACTGAAGTTTAATCGTTGTGATCTGTGTATAAGTACTTGGTCTCTAGTTCGGAAAATTACAGATCGTGGATGAGGAATTATCAATTGCTGTTTTCTATCCCCGGCTTGGGTCTTAGGTTCAATCCTAAACCTAAGTGACAATAGCTAGCCATTTCTATTACTTCTCAACAATGACAGTTGTGTTAGAACAGGCTTCAAACAAAGGTGCGTGGTGTGGAGCATCAACAGGGATTCTAGTTTGTTCTGACTCAGTTGGACCACTCCATGACCGTTGCTTCAGCAAGCGTTCACTTCACATTACCATCACCATCAGCATTATTAGTGATGGCGACTGAAAATTTAAATACTGTTTTGTTTACTGAGTAGTAGAGGTTTCAAGAGAGTTCATACATAAATGTTAAAACCTAGACTTCATTATTCAGTCCACTCCGTAGGCGCGAACATAGCAAACGACCTTATACTCAGCCACCAGAAATTTTCAGCAGAACGCTGGAGACAGAAAATACTGACTAGACCCTGAATTCCGCAGTAGGTTTACATTAGTGCTACGATTTACTAGTAACAGAGATGGAATAAAGGTTTTGCATTGGTTATGTAGAAGGAGAAGGCAACAACACTTTTAGCTGGCGTCGTTACAATTCATTATGCAAGCAATCATCGAAGACGAAAGTGGTCGAAAAGTTTTCAGTATTGTTCTGGCTTACATCCGCGTGGAGTCGGCCGAAAATGAGAAATATTCCGCTCACTGTATATATAAAATCTAACTACATCCTTTCTTAAGTTATTTATGTTGGCCGAACTTTATTGCAGAATTTTGGAAGCAGTAGTGTGATTACATTTACTAAACCGCTGAGCCAGTAGCTATCCTAAAGCTGAACAAGAAAAAGCCGCTCGAACAGAGACGACGATTGCAAACACATGAGTTGGCTAACACATATTTCACTGAAAGTATCATGGCGGCGTTTAATTCTGCTTTTTTACTGCGCTTCTTACTTATGGCAGAAACAGCTCGTAACGTGGCGGTGTCTGGTGCCTTTATGATTGTGATAGTAACCTAAGTCCGCAGATCCTTTTAAAGTAGCACGCCCTTGCCTCTTCTGACCAAATTGGTAGCTGATATCATATAGCTTAAGCAGGGTTCGTACAACTAGTAGGGTGTTATCGGCCAATGACCGACAGTTTTGGTCAGACGTACACAGCTTCTTCAGCTTCCCTACCTGTAATCACACAATAAGCTTTCGACGACTGGAAAACAGCCATCTGTGTCATCTGCAAATGCCTGTACCAGTTAGGGGCCAACGTTTATGCGGTCGCTGGTAATGACGGATAAGCTACTTTCTTCGATGTAATGCGATATGAGACAGGGGGTTTCTGCTATAACCACAACCCCGTCCGCACATTGCCCATAATGATATTCATGTTTTGTCATCACTACGCTAAAATATGGAAATATAACTAAGGTTTCTGATATTTGTGTTTGGTACATAGTTATTATGTTCCATTGTCTGCTGTATCTGTTAAATCACTTGATTTAGTTCCAAAGCTCAAAGCGTCCACGTACACTCCATCCTGCCACATGACTTACTCGGGATCTGACAACGGATCGATACAAAGCCCAAAAATGGCTGAAGTGATGGCATTCTGCAATTATGATATCACAGTGAACTCAAACAGCCAGATCAAACTGAAGTTTACGGAAACAAATGCAAGTTATCACATTGTGAAGTGACTAGTTTCTAAAAGCTCCCATTATCACATCGTAATCTCTGTATGTTTATATCTGGAGTGACCACTTTACCTAACCAACCTTTCTGTTAACAAACTATTCGGAGCTTATAAATCACTTGTTGTTTCCATTATATCATAGCTAAGTGAGAATACACCTATGCATCTCTATTATTTAGTTGCATGTCGTCGAGGATGCTTTTGCGGACTACGTTTTGGCATTCGACGGAGCAGATTGTCTGTCTAGACGAATTGGAGTGGCGTCCAGTTCAAAAACACCAACCTTCATCTCCAGTGGGAACCAGCTGACTTCACTGTTTATAGGCGAAACTAAGAAAACAAAGTTCAAGGCTATTTACTCCGTAGGTAAGTAGCAGCCCCCCGTAGTTGTGTGATGAGCATCGTTTTATCGGTTCTCTTATTCACGAAAACATCGGAATTGTCGTATTCATCTGGCGGTTGCAGAACCTGTGCTACCCATTTGTAATCGTGCTTGAAGATTCCTAACTGACTATGATAGCCATTGAAACAATCGCTTTGTTTGGAACTCATAAACCTTAGCGACGTTTCATTTCCAAGAAATAAGCCATGGCATTTCTCCCAAACATTTTTGCATAATTCTGTGTGTTGTAAAACTTCCTTCGCACAGTAGGAGTGAAAAGTAACGTATAAGCACGGCGTCTTTAAGCTCTTCAAGGTATGGTCATTGTAGATCGTCGGATTAACATCAGCCAGCTTAATCTTGCACTTAAAAAGAAGCTCTGGTTATTGATTGGAGAGACCAAAGTTCGTGAAAATGTCAAGTATGAATTATTCCTCAATGTAGTTTACCACGGTCATTATGTCTTTTTGAGTAGCGCAACATCAGTATCCATTCACACGTTTACGTAATGTATGACGAGGCTCATACCGTTGCCAAAAGTATGTCTTACAGGTGGACGTAAGTATCTGAAAAACGATCCAAACTGTCAGATGGACTCAACTTGAGCAGGGTCAACGAGTAGGTGCACCAGGTTTTTGTGGTAGTATAAGGGGTTCCCTACTGATTGTTTGACATTTGGCCAGGGGTGAGGCAACTACTTTTGCGCTTACTGAGGGCAGAATAGGCGCGTGAAGGCTGCACAATCGGCTCCGGGTAAAGGACACATTAGTTTGCTATGGAATGGGACACTGAGCCAAATGTTGTGAAGTGACCAGAATGGGACAAGTGACGGGATCACTGGGAATAACCTTTGCACAAGTGTGACATATGGCGCTAAATTTTTGTTGATCATAGAGAGTAACATTAAAATTTTCAACTCTCAACTTATCTGAATATATTGTTCTTTATATTTGGTATCGAAAAGCAATGTTTCCTGTCGCATGCCCCCAGAAACGGACCGCCCCCTCCCTCTGCATTCGGTTGTGGCAGAACGAGTTTGCTTACTGGGGCACATGAAGAAGCTCATGAATGAAGCAGCTTCGTTATGGACATTATCTGTATTGTTGTATACTTAAAGCTTATTAATTGGACGTCAATACGATTTTTGCTAAACATGTTTTCCTGAGTAGGTAATAATAAATGAAGGACGGAGTTTCTAAACAGATTGAATAATGACTTACTTCCCGAAGTCAATCGACGTCGGTAGTACAAGTAATTTGCAATGAAAGATGCAGCAGCTATCGCATTTGCGGCAAGTCCAACACAGTTATGTTCACATGCCAGGTATCCTCTATAACCGCTGGCAGAGTAAGAAAACTCTATTTATTGTAACAAACAGCAGCTACTTTTGTAGTTTCCAAGGTTTGGCTGTTTGTCAGTGTTGAAACCTACACGTTATTTGAAGCAACGTTGGGGAGGGTTCACCGGCTCCCCTACTACACAAATGCTATTCTGTTAACGAAGGTAGCAATGGTCACCCCTTTTGGGAATCAACAATTCGTAGGCAAAAACAGCGTATGGTTGGTAGCAAGATATGTGGCACAGGACATTTTTCGAGTGCCACTCATAACCTTCATAGGCACTCCTCTTCATTCGCTGTGACCAGCGGTGTTCGCCAAGGTTGCCCTATTTCACCTTTCCTCTTCAATTTCGCCATCGAAGATGTTCTCCAAAGAGCACTGGAAGGTGTCCAGGACTGCGGTGTTGAGCTTCTCCCTGGAGACAGACTCACGGACTTGGACTACGCCGATGATATCGCCTTGCTGGGGGACGACCCACAATCCGTCCAGAACGCTCTGGACCGCTTGGCGATGGAGGCGTCTAAGTACGGCCTGTGCTTCACTCCGGGAAAATGTAAAACGCTGCTCCAGGACTGGCAGGTGCCTGAACCCGCGCTCACCATTGCTGGACATGTTCTGGAGCAAGTCCCTTGCTTCACTTACCTTGGGAGTTGCATCACGGCTGGTGGCGGTGTTGGAGATGAAGTCTCACAACGGATTGCAAAGGCCCGCCTTGCATTCATCAAACTGAGACATCTATGGCGTCGTCGTGATGTCAGTCTCAAGCTCAAGGGCAGGGTGTACAATGCTTCCGTCCGTGCAGTACTCTTGTACGGCTGTGAGACTTGGCCTATTCGCTCGGAAGATATGAAGCGGCTATCAGTCTTTGATAATCGCTGTCTACGAAGGATTGCTAGGGTGTGGTGGCAACACCACGTAAGCAACGCAGAGGTGAGAGACCGCGTGCTTGGGGCGAATAGTGCCAGTCTTCAAGACGTTATTCTCCGACATCGCATGCACTGGCTCGGGCATGTTCTGCGCATGCCAGCCCATCGCCTTCCACGCCGAGCGCTATTTGCACTCCCAGGGAGCGATTGGAAAAAGTGCCGCGGTGGACAGCCGATAACGTGGAGAAGGAGTATGAAGAAGGCGGCCTCAAGTTTGGCAGCAGTCGGACCAGTCCGGCTTCCAGGTTGGGTACCACGAGATGCTGAATTGCAGTGGTTGGAAACATTGGACGTCATGGCCCGCAACAGACATCAGTGGCGGCAATGTTGTTCCGCAATTTCACCATCCCTTTGATACACACAAAAACTCACAAAACAAAACAAAAAATACAAAATGGCGTGTGTAAAACCAAAAAAATTCGTTTCCCATATTTTTAATCGCATTAGTGTCCCCATCTTCTTCACCTTTTTCTTCTGCCATGGTTCTGATGGCACAATGTCTGTTAACAGACTGTGAATAAATAATATTAATATATAAAACGGGCTAACGGCTTATCAGTCAACTTAGAAACAATCTACTTGTCCTACCCCTTCACTAATCACTTTTTTGTCGCTTCCGATGACATTTCAGTAAGCAAACAAAGTAAGTCACTTTCATCTTTGTGTTATGTGATTGTGACAATCGAACAATTGTATATGCAGCCTGTAAACACTGTTTCTTTGACCGCTCAGCTTGAGTGTTTATGGTGTACTTACACTTGGAGTAAGGTATTTATATCTGAACCTTGAAGACGGTGTAGTAACACTGTGAATTGCCCATCATTTCGGCTTATTTTATGCTTCGTATATTTTGGCATCAAGTTGCCCCCTTATCTTCAGTTTAGATGTGATAATCCAACCGTTTCTCTTAAATACAGAGGCAACAACACCAAAAGCACCATCCGGCAAGTGACCATTTTGACTTTTCTCTATCGAGCAATAGTGTTACATATTTAAGTAATAATTGGCAACAGCCCTATAGTAACCCATATTGAGATGCATAACTGACCAAACCCTGAC